AAAGCTAAGACACGAGGAATGGAAAGAAAAACGCAAGTATCTGCTTCGGTAAGGGAAGATTTGATTCATGGGACCTGTTGTAATAGGGGGATCCTCAAAGCCTAACCTGGAAATAACTCAGCAAAGACAGGGAGTGGTGGTTGCATACTCAGAGTCCATGGGACAAGTGGCCCTGCAAGCGCTCAGGCTAAGTAAACCCTGCTGAGTTGGGGTCTTAGTCCTTGTCATACTGGGCTGAGAGTTGCCAGGAAGAGTTGAGGTGGGACAGGCTGCTCATAGTCAGTTTCACGAGATCAGAATCTGAGCCTGAGACAGAACAAAGAAGTAACAGGTGGCATGTTGCTGTGGGGTTACAGCCAGCACAAAGTACTTATCAAACTTCCTAAGAAACTGTCACTTGTGCTATGTGTAACAAGACAAATAGAATCCCAGAAGATATCAGACCTCCCCCCGCCCACAGGTCTCACTAATAGAGTCCAAGCCAGCCTAGAACTCACAGCAATCCTCCTGCCTCAGCCTCTCAGGTGCTGGGATTACAGGAGCATGCCACACTGCTCAAACTACATACACTTTTTTTTTTTTTTTTTTGGCTTTTTCCTTTTTTATCGGCACCAGGGATCGAACTCACGACTGCCTGCTTGCAAGGCAGGAGCTTATGCCGCTGAGCTAACTCCCCAGCCCCTACATACACATTTTAATTCCTAGAACTTATAACTATTAAACGGCATACACTTTGCGAATGTGATTGCAGATCTGGAGATGGAGAGATTATCCCAGATGATCTGGCTGAGTCCCAAATGTGATAGCAGCTGTCCTTTGAAGAAAGAGGAGAGGGCGATGTGACACGGATAGAAGATGAAGTAATCAGGAGACTAGAGTGGGAGGGACATAAATCAGTCGGAAAGTGCATGAGACCACCAGGCAGGGATGAGGCACAGCACAGATTTGCTCTTTGAACCTCTGCAGGGAGAGAGGAGAGGGCCACCAATGTCGTCTCCAACTCAGTGACACTGACTTCAGACTTCTGATCTCTGTAACTGTGAAAGAATGAAACCCTGTCGTGTTAAGATACCACGCTTGTAGACGTTTGCTACAGTGACCATAGAAAGCTAATATTCCTTGGTTCTTTAAAAGATTCTAGCCGGGTGTGGTGGTGCATGCTTGTAAGCCCAGCACTTGGAGGCTGAGGCAGGACGTTCACTTCGAGTTCAAGGCCAGCCTGAGCTATACTGTGAGTTCAAGACTAGCCTGAATTGTATACGGAAACCTTGTCTCAAAGAGCAAACAAAAACAGACAGATAAAACACTATTTCCAGCACTGGTGACAGACAAAACACTATTTCCAGCACTGGTGAGGCAGAGGCAGGAGGATTGTAGTGAGTTTGAGACTCGTCTGAACTACATAGCGAGACCCAGTCTTAAGAACCAAAACTGAAAAAGAAAAAAAAAATTATTTTTCAGCTTTGAGAGTTCCTCTGGCATTCTGCTGAGAACCTATAAATTGCGGCCTTAAAGGGGGAGGAATTCCACGTGGCCTGTGCTTGTTACTTACTGCACCTAACGCTTCACCACGACTTTGTTCAAACACATCTGTCATGTTCTGCTTCATCTGCTGTAAAATCAGGACTGCTGTTGTCCAGGACGGCCTTGGATTTGCTGCATAGCCCAGCTGTCCTCAAACGCATGATCCTCCTGACTCAGCCTCCTAAATGTTATGATTACTGGTGCTTGTCATCACCCTGGCTTCAGTTTAATGATGGAAAAGGGGAGCCTCAGAAAAACTGTTAGGAAAGGCCCGTGTGAATTGTATGAATAAATGTTCAGACTACACCACAAGAGACAAGGAGCACCAGCGCTTAATTCTTGTCATCTGATTTATGTACTTGGGAAATTAACTGACAGATTAACACTATAGGGAAAGCAGGGGTGAGGCAATTCAGAAAAGTAGGTTATTTTATAAGTAGCTTCATATGAACATCAAATCGTATGAGGTTGTTTTCCATATGGTTGTCGGTGATAATCTTTTTGCAGATGGGAATATTTTCTAAGAGTAATTCTCAGGTTGTTACACTGGGGAGAGGTATAAAATCAGGGTCTTGAATATCACCATGCTAAATCTGCCAGTTCCCCTATGATTTAAAACTTCCAGAGACCAGCCATGTGCGATGGAGCACACCTGTAATCCCAGCTCTCTGGGAGGCTGCGGCAGGAGGATTGCTGTGAGTTCAAGGCCAGCCCGGGCTACACAGCAAGACTTGGTCTCAAAAAACAACCAAAATTTCCAGAGACTGGATAAAGAATTGCATCTTGTACCACTAGCGAGCAAGGAGAGTCTATATGAGAAAATACACGAGAATGTATTTTCACAGATGCTGCATGCTAAATAGAAATTGGGAAGTTCTACCCACGACCTTTTATCAGACACAGGTAAGGCTTGGTCAATAGACTATGATGTTATAATTTTAATAATTAAGGCTAGTCAAAATTATTTTTCAGCCAGTCACGGTGGTGCAGACTGTATGAGGCCGAGGCAGGAGGATCGCTGAAAGTTCAAAGCCAGCCTGGACTACATGACGAGATTGTCTCGAAAAACTGAAAAAAAAAAAAAAAAAATCAAAGTATGAATCAAAATATAGGAAAAAGATTGGAGCATGGTGGTACACACCTATAACTTCAGCTTTTTAGGCTGAAGCAGGAGGTCCTCAAACTCAAAACTGACATGGGCTCTGGAATAGGAAGGTTTAGGGCCGAGAAGGGTGGTGCATGTTTATAATCCTAGCATAGGAGGCTGAGACAATTGCCATGAGTTTGAGCGCAGCCTGAATTACATAGTGACACCCTGTCTCAAAAAACAAAACGAAAAACAAAAAGGCTTGGGATGTATCTCAGTGGCAGAGCCCCTGCCTTTCATCCTCAAGGCCTTGGATTCATTACCCTGTATTTCGGGGTGTAGGAGGGGGACAAAATAACTACCAATATTCTTTCTTTTTATCATCAGTATCGGGAGTTGAACCCAGAGAGTGCTGAGCTACATCTCAGCTTTTTAGTGCAGATCTTGAACTCACTGTGTAGTCCAGGCTGATCTCAATTTTGAGGTGATCCTCCTGCCTCAGCCTCCTGAGTGCTGGAGTTATAGGTGTGCAGCACCATGCACTCAGCCCTGTTTGTTTGTTTGAGACAGGGTCTCATTATGCCATTCAGGCTGGCCTTAAACTATGTAGCCCAGAATGGCCTCCCAACAATCCTGCCTCAGCCTCCCCAGTACTGGGATTACAGGTGCAGTGTGTGCCATCACACCAAGCCGTTCTTTTTATCTGGGTCTGGGTCTCACTGTATTGCCCCTGCTAGCCTTGAATTTGTGATCCCCCTGCCTCAGCCTGCAGCACAGCTGGGGTTATAGGCATGTTGCCACCACACCCAACATGCCACCTTTCTACAATGCATGATTTAGCCCATCGTGTACAGATATAAACAGATACTGAGTTGGGATGGTGTCTTCCACTCTCCTGCTTGGGGGTTCATTCTCTCACTTCTTGCTGTTTCTTGGTTTAACGTTAGACTCTGGGTACATAAAAGAAACCCCGGTTTTCTCCAATTCTTCAATTCCAAGGAACAAAGGGGATGCCATTCTTCAGAGCACTGCCTGCCACACTGCCTGCTGCCAGGATGTTGCTCAAGGCAGAGCTCTTAATGCAGCAGCAGGTTTTTCCACCCTATGAATGTTAGGGAGCTGTGGCCCAAGGGTAGCTGTAAAGCCCACGTGTTAGAATAATTTGGATTGCTTGTGATACACTCAGTAAACAAACACAGAGGACCAATCACATCCAGAGCACTGGAACTCTGACCCACAGAGGCAGAGACCTGTGTGACCTTCGAGGTGACCAGCTCTGAACATCAGGGCTTACTCAGTGGCTCACACCTAACTTCCTCCCTTCTGTCTCCCAACCCTAGATTGAGCAGAGAGAATGGCCAGAGTGCTCCCCAGACGGATCACATAATATGACCCATTTCTAATTGTTCTTCAAGCAAATGTACTCCTCCATATGGATCACAGAAGTGCTCCACCTTCTCCTCCTCCTTCCCTCCCCTTCCTCTCTCCTCCAGCTTGGGAGGTGGGGAGAAACACTTCCAACAGGGGCAAATCCAAGGGCCCACAGACAGGGATTTTTTTCTCCACCTTTGAGTGCCTGCCTCCTCTTGGTTCACTTTCTGAACCTATGGTCAGCTTGGTCTTCATTCATTCCCACTTCGTTCATTCCCACCTGAGTGATGACTAAGACAAACACCATGATTAACAAACACCTTGCTGTACACATCAGTAAACTTTAGGCCCCAAGCGGTGTTTGAGAGGGAAGAACTTGTACTTTTTCAACAGATATAAATATTTTTAAAACACACCAATATTTGAAAACGTTTCTTTGTGCCTCCATCTAAAAAGTTACCAGTTTTTTAGTTATCTACTTGAAAGGTAAAAATGTATCACCCATTCGAATTTTCAGTAGAACTTTTCAAATTGATATGCATTGTGAAGCCATTTTTGTAAATAAAATACCTAAATACTTTCAGGGGGACTCGGAAAAAGGATGTTGATTTTCTAAAATACATTTTCTACATTGAATATGATTCTTGTATAATTCTTATTTCTTCTGGTGCTGGGGATTGAAGCCAGGACCTAGAACATCTTATATGACTTTGGAAATCAGAAACATTTCTGAATTGATTTCCTTAAATCCTTCTCTATAGGATATATATTTTCACCATGTAAATCATTTTCTCAAACGGCGTGACCTCAACTCTTACATTTAAATATTATTAAGTAAAATAAATACTATTAAAGTGAATTTATTAAATGTGAAGCAGTGCATCTGGAAACTAAAACACAGCCCATGATGTAGGGTGCCGGAAGTCAAAGCAGTTTTCATCCTTCTCAACCGCGTTTCTCTTTACTAAACCGATTTTCTTCCGTAACAAACGCAGGTGGGTGAGAAACCCCTGGACAGAAAAGCCGGATCCGGCTACCTGGCCCCGCGCCAGCGGCCCCGGCGACCCCACCAGCCCCTCCCCCAGGTCCAGACAATGACCAGGGATCGTCTTCCCCCGGTGGAGGCTCTAGCTCCTGGGAGCTGAGCTGTGGGGAGCCACGCATCTGCCCCATCTCCGCTAGAGACCAACCCGCAGCCAGCGGCGGGCCCGGCGCCGACCCGCGGGAGATGCTGGCGGAACCCACAGGTCCTCCGGGCGGTGTGCGTGGTGACCCACGGGGGCTCGCCCGGAGCTCGAAGCGAAGGACTCGGTCGCCCAAGTTCTGACCTCCCTGTTCCTCCCGCCCCCATCCCCACCCCCACCCCCACCCCCATCCCCACCCCCACCCCTCCCGCCCCCATCCCCACCCCACACCCCTCCCGCCCCCATCCCTCCGCCTGGGGAGTCCCGCCTCCCCACTGCCCATTCCGCCCCGCCCCAGTCGGGGTCTGCGGGGGGACCCAGCGGCGTCACGTGCCCGAGTCCGCCAGCCAGCGGGCCCCGCCCCTCAGCCTGCGCAGCCAATCACAGTGCAGGGGCAGAGGGGGCGGACCCGGAGGGCGGCAGACGCAGGGCTTTAAAGGCAGGGTGGACGACGTCGGCTGCATCCCCGGACCTCCGTCGCCGCCGGCTGGGATTCTTCGAAACGCCTGCGCAGTAGCGGCCCTCCAGGTGCGCTCCGCCCTGAGCGGGGCGGCGGCACTGGGGCTAGGAACCTGTGGCGAGGGAGGGAGCCAGGGTTCCGTGGATCTTCAGCTCGGTTTCGGAGCCTCGTCGCACCCAGGCTACCGTGTCTCGGGAACGGGCCGGGCAGAGCGGGCTAGGGTGCCCTTCTCCCCCGTGCCTCTCAGACATCGCTTGGCGCGGAGGCCGAAGCAGGCGGGGTCCCCTGGCCTGGCCCGAGTGCCGCGTGGGGGGCTCCGTGGATCGATGGCCTGCGCTCCTGGGAAGGCGACCGGAAAGCTTTCCCGGAGCCCACAGCGCTCACCTCCTGGACGTTAGTCCCAAAGACGGAGTGAGGTGTCATGCCGACCAACTGGAGGAGCCCTTCTCTACTTGGGGTCCGCCGGCCTCGGCCGAAAGGTTTTGCTTGGATGCCGTGAACGGCCCGGGGAAACTTCTGGACCTCCCCTTTCCTTGTTTTCTGGGTGTTGGCTTGAGATTCCGGGCCATGAGTGCCCTGAGGCGCAGCAGAACGCAAACGATCACTGCTGCTCCAGCGAAGTTTTGTCTGGTGCTGTAGCGCTCATCAGCACTTGCTTTTCATTTCTAGAGCCGAATCAAACACTTGCCTTTTGTTTTTACTGAATCTCTGGCCAGTTTTTCATCAGCCCTTTCACACGCTTGGTGTTAATAACTGGTTTCTCTCTAGGTGTTTGAACCATGACTCCGTCATTTGTCCTGGCAGCTCTTTGCTTGGGCATAGTCTCAGCTCTTCCAAAACTTGATCAGACCCTGGATGCGCAGTGGGACCAGTGGAAGGCCGCACACGGGCGACTGTACGGATTGGTTGGTAACATCCTGTCTCTTTATTCCCAAGCGCGGGCCTTGATTTGGGGAGTTTGTGGCCAGAGCAGCTTCTGGCAGCCAGCAGTCACCTGAGGGCTGCATTGTGAGTGGTGGGCACCAGCACCCAGGCAGTGTGAAGCCACCTCCCATGGTTTCTCTTCTGCTGTCTGCGGAGCCCCCTGCGTGTGCTGAGTTTTAAGGAGAAAGGCAGCCTATCTCGTGTGTTTCCTTCTAGAATGAAGAAGGGTGGCGGCGAGCAGTGTGGGAGAAGAACCTGAGGATGATTGAGCTGCACAATGGGGAATACAGCCAGGGCAGACACAGCTTCACCCTGGGCATGAACCACTTCGGAGACATGGTGAGTGTGGGGCGTGCTGGTTCACTCGCACTGCTCTCCTCGCTGCTTAACCAAATGGCATCTATCCCACCTTTTCAACTTTATCATTTACTTTTCCTTGAAGACCAATGAAGAGTTTAGGCAGGTGATGAATGGCTTCCAACACCAGAAGCACAAGACAGGGAAGATGTATCAGGAGCCTCTGCTTCTTCAGCTCCCCAAATCTGTGGATTGGAGAGAAAAAGGCTATGTGACTGAGGTGAAGAATCAGGTATGCCAGTGATTCACGCCCTCCAGAAGTCCAGGAAGGAATTGGTGGTCTTGGATAGACTGTAGGGTGACAAGCAGCTCACTTTTTTTTTTTTTTTTTTGCATTTTAAGAGCAACCCTTCCCAACGTGGCCTCACAGCAGCCTGCTCTGTATGGTTTGTTTTTTTTTTCCCTGCTCTGTGTGTGTTTTGTTTTGTATTTTGAGATACGGTCTATCCTGTAGTACAGAACGGCCTTAAAAGCACAGCCATTCTCCTGCCTTTTGGAGGGTTACAGTTGAGGGCCACCTGGCCTGGCTTCTCAGCATTTTTAAAAATTTTTAAAAATTTTGTTTGGGGATCGAACTCATGACCTTGTACTTGCCAGGCACTTGTGCCGCTGAGCTAAATTCCCAGCCGTGCTCTGTTTTTAAAGGACTAGATGTCCCTCATTTAAAGACCGAGTTCAGTTCCTGCGCGTTGGTCTGCTAAACGGGGAATTGCATATAATGTGTACATTAAAAGTATTCAGGACTAAGAAATGGTCAAAGGAGATTTCAGCTTGATGACTTGGCTTTTATTATTTTTTTTTTTTTTTAACTCTGACATGGAGTAAAGTAAGGTGTAAAACAACAAAACTGCAATGCTGTACTTGTACTGTACAGTTAGCAAGCATAACAGTACTGTGCTGTAGACGCCACCACCACTTCTCATGCTCCTGCAACACTTGTAAGTCAGGAAGCAGGTGGCAAGGATGCACAGATGGTCATGAAACATCAAACGGGTAGGTCCTTAAATGAGGAAAACTCAGATACTGTGTTTAAACTGTTGTCAAGTCTTTTCTTTTAAACTGCCACCTTGTTTTTACTCCTTTTTCAGGGACAGTGTGGCTCTTGCTGGGCTTTTAGTGCAACTGGATCCCTGGAAGGACAGATGTTCCATAAGACTGGTAACCTGGTTTCCCTGAGTGAGCAGAACCTTGTAGACTGTTCTCGACCTCAAGGCAATCAGGGCTGCAATGGGGGCCTGATGGATTTTGCCTTTCAGTATGTCAAGGACAATAAAGGCCTGGAGGCCGAGAAATCTTACCCGTATGTAGGAAAGGTAAGGTGAAGTATCTTAAATTGGTTTTCACTCCAGCTGTTTTGGGGAAGGGCGTACTCTTCAGAATTCACTGTAGGCTGTAGAATCTGTATCTCCAAACTGTTATTCCTTCATTATAGCCTGTGGACAGTTGATTGATTAAATACTCACAGTATGCAAACTGTTCTATATATAATAAAAATATCTCCACTGTAAAAAAAAAGAAGTAGTTCTTATGGGCAAGTCAAGGGCTTCTCGTGGAAAGAACATCCATTTAATTTTTGAGTTTCAGGTCAGCTAATGATACTCTGCTCCAAAGATGAGTCCTAGCAGTGTTGAATTGAAAGACATAAGCTACAAATTGACAGATGTTTCAGTTCTAAAACTCAGGCCTCCCAGGAGGAGGTAAACAATGCTAATCATGTCTCTTTCTCTTTAACTTTAAAAGGATGGAGAGTGTAAGTACAAGCCAGAGCTTTCTGCAGCTAATGACACTGGATTTGTGGATGTCCCTCAGCGGGAGAAGGTCGTCCAGAAGGCATTGGCGACCGTAGGCCCCTTGTCTGTGGCTATCGATGCCGGCCTTCAGTCCTTCCAGTTCTATAAGGAAGGTGGGTGTTTATCAGGCTGTGTGGCCGAAGTTCAGGCGGAATCCCAGAGCACTTCCTTGACTGACTCTGGAATCCTGCTTTCCAAGACAGTATAGGCTTTGAGTCTGTGTTTAATGTAGTGATGCAGTATTTCCATTTTTTACACAACATTTTTCCATGATTATAAACCCTCCATGAGTATTTTTGAAATTACATTTATTGTTTTGTTTTATTTTTCTTTGGTACCGGGGATTAAACTCACAAATTCGCACTTGCCAGACAGGCGCTTGTGCTGCTGAACTAAACACCCTGCCTCTTCCCTGGGTATTTTTTTTTTCCCTCTTTTTTTTTTTTTTGAGATAGGGTCTCACTATGCAGTTCAGCTCACTTTGTAGCCCAGGCTGGCCTTGAACTCACAAGGATCCTCCTGCCTCAGCCTCGGGAGTGCTGGCCACACCCGGCTACCTTGAGTATTTTTAAATGACTCCTTAGTTAAGTAGACGCAGCCTAATTTACCTGACTGTTCTCTAATTGCTATATCTTTTTTCTAAAAAGATTTTGACTAGTGTTGTAAAGTTTGTGGCTTACATATAAGGCTTGGTGGGGGCTATGTGAGTGGTCTCAATTTCTTTAGATGGACATTTTAGTTAGAAGAAATGACTGATACTTTAACTAAGAGATGAAAGCCAAAGTCACCTGAGGCTTGGCAGCAGTTTATTTCATTTTTTTAGATTTGTTTTTTCTTAGTAGAAATTATCTTGGAATACTGAATTTCATAGATTGTAATTTTTAATTTGTGTTAGTACATGTTTGCAGTGTGTAATGGTTAAATTCATTTTAGGGAGCTGGTATGTAACATGTCTTCTCTTTAACACCCCCCCTCGCCCCCACCTGTTGGCTTCCTTCCCATTAATTTCATTGACTTCTGGTGAACAGAGGTTGGCTTTTTATCAGCCATATTTTCTATGTTCTTACATGGAATTTGCTTATGGTATTTCTGATAATGTTGCGGTTCTGTCCTGCTGTGAATGACAGGATTGGTGTTGCCCTGTGTATTGGGAACCTCTCACCCCGTGCTGATTTTATGCTCCTAGGCATTTATTACGATCCAGGTTGCAGCAGCAGGGACCTGAACCATGGCGTGCTGTTGGTTGGCTATGGAACTGATGCATCAGAGACCGGGAAGGGGGACTATTGGCTTATCAAGAACAGGTATGGAACTCCAGGTATTATACCAGTGTTTGGAATTAAGATGAGAATTTCTGCATGTGACCAGCGTTTGGATGCAGGTCCTGGGAACTCAGGTTTGAAACATTAAGCCTCTCTCCCGCTGAGGGGGCACACGGCCCCAGTCCGGTTTCATTCTAAGATACGGTGCCAAGCTCGTTGAGGTCAGCGAATGCGTATTTGTAATGCTGTGTTTCTAAATTGTGAAAATTTTCTCAATTCTGAAACATTCGGCTTCAAGGGCTTCAGGAAATGGATTTTTGTGTAGAATACAGGGCTAATTTCTGTCTCTAGTATTCCAGCAAGGTAAGGCATCCACCTCTGCTGATACTTTGTTGAAGCTGAAGGATAATCTCTGTGTGTCTCCTTCCCATCGACAGTTGATGCTCTCCCCTTGGTTCCGGTTTTTGAGATAGGGTCTTACTGTGTAATTCAGGCTGGCCAGGCAACTCACTGTGTACCCTACCCAGGACTTAGCTCACAGCTCATAATCACCTCCCGCCTCACTGATGACAAGCATGCCCCCCCCTACCCCTGGCTTGCCCTTGCATTTTCTTCTGAGTTCTCAGAGGCCTCAGGAGTTGTCGTGATCAGTTTTCTCCTTTGATTAAAAAGTAGTTTAAGACAATCTCTGGAGACAGACTGTTGTGTACATAGACTGTGCGAGAACTTAGAATAGTACATGATACGTGGTAAGCACTGTTTTTTAAGCATTAGCTATTAATGAAACTAATATATATTTTTTCCTTTCTTTTTTTTAACCAAATGGAAAACCTGTTTCAGTTGGGGTACAACATGGGGCGCAGATGGCTATGTAAAAATCGCTAGAAACAGGAACAACCACTGTGGCGTGGCCACTGCAGCCAGCTATCCTCTCGTGTGACCTGCTGCGCTGAGGTGACAGAGGACTGAGGACAGCGTGTCCACAGGAATTTTACCTGAACACTGACCAAGCCCTTATTGTGTAAGACAAAAACACTTGAATCATTGAGGATTCAATTTCCGATTTGAATTCTGTGACATTTTTACAAGGGTAAAAGGTTACCACTACTTTACTGTTATATAAACAGCTGTATGATATTGAAAATTCCAAGACTTAATTTTCATTTTTTAAAAAGAGTATAAATCTTTACCTATTAAAGTAAATTTTAGTGTAAAATAATAAATATTGGTTCATTATATGGAGTGGGACTTCTGTTAATGCACTGACTTTGTATGCATAAAAAAGATACTGTACTCTGTAAAGACAACTCTGGCAGTAATACATCAGGGAAACACTAAATGTGTGGACTGACTTGGCTTGTTCAAGTTAAGCTGTGTGTAGTGACACACAACCTTAGTTAGAGTTACTTGAGAGGCAGAGGCAGAAGGATCACTTCTAGCCTTATACCTTCAAGGCCAGTGTGCACGAGAATCTCAGATTAACCAAAAGATACACTTCCTGTCAGCTGTGCACTGCATGCACCTTAATGCAACTCAGTTTCATAGTTTTATTTTTAATTGATTTAATTATACCTGGATTTGCAATATGTTTTAACACTGCATTGTACAGTGATCGAATGAGGCCATTAAGAATATTCATTGTCTCGAATATGTATCACTTCTTTGTAGTGATGGCATTTGAAATCACACTGCACAGTTCATCATGGTTAACTGTGGCCACCTTCTGTGGGATAGAAGGCCCCTACTGACCCAGCTCTTGTATCTAGCATGGGCTGCGCTGTTCCAGGACAGTTTCTTTGCTTCTAGGCAACAAAACAGGTTCATCGATTTAGATCTCAGACAAGAGGTTCCTTCCTTTGACCCAGGGTGTCTAGATACTTGCTGAAAGTCATGTTGGTAGGGACACCTTTGCAGCCTGAAGATAGATGGGATACACGTGGCTGACCAGCACTGTTTTGTTTTGTTCTGCCAAGTTTCTGATGACATCCTACATGCTCTTACGGCAGAGCCCCATGCCACCTCTCAGTCTTAGCAGAACTAAATTTAACAGTTGTGATTAACAAATCTCAGATATGTGGTAATAGGTGTGTTCGAGGTCCACAGGAGATAAGGCCATGCCGCAGAAATAGTCCTCTGGCCTTGGAAGAGGGATGTGAAATCACAGAGGATAGGACAGGTCACCCAGTCAGATTTAGATTTGGCTATCTCATCTTTGTCTTAAAAATACACTCAGAAGGAAACAAAATAGGCACATAATTACACAGGTAGTAAGTAAAAAGAAAAACACTTGCTTATTTAAAAGACAGGACAGAGGTGCACTAAACTGGTGAATTGCGGGTGCTTATTTTAACTTTCTGCAGAGAGCCTTTTTATTTTTTGTTTCTTGGTTTTGAGATGATCTCACGATGGATTTGAACCCTCCATGGAAGCCTGACTCAGCCTGCCTCAGCCTTCCAAGTGCTGAGATTATAGGTGTGTGCCACCAGGCCCTGCGAGAAAAAGAGTTGTGTATGTTTGTTTGAAAAAAACTGTCCTGCATGCTAAACAACTGTTGTGTGTGTCCTTGTGTATTCAAAAGCCTAAAACCTGTGACTTTGTAGGTTTGTTCCCAGTCAAAAAGAAAATGCAGCTGATTGGCTGGTGCCCTGCTTACTTGAGCCGTAATCTGTTATGAAGAAAATGAGTAGAAACAAGAGAGTTTGTCAGAAGGGCTGAGGGTGTGGCACAGAAGGACAGCACATGCCCAGCACCACAAAAAGGTTCCAATCTATCCAAGCTGATGGCCATTCATATGCTCAGATTATAAAACAGTGGAAGGTTTCGTCATTTTCAGAGACTTTAAGAATACTCTTCTCATGAAATTCCAAGCCACATAAAGCATGTTTTTGCCAGGTGTGGTGGCACACAGCTGGGCTCAGATTTACCATCCTGAGTCCGCCTTCAGGACGCCTGGGTTGAAGGCCTGTGCCGCTGCACTTCTGTTCAGATCATTTATGTGCTCATTTACGCCTGGAACTCAAATGCTTATGTCCCCCCTTTTATTTTCCCCTGCTTGTTTTTTAGTAGTATTTAGTAGTAAATAATTGTGTCAAATCCATGGCTGACAACCCTGGCAGGGTTCCCATGTTACAGTCCCCAGGCAGAATTCTCCTCTCTGCCCGTAAAGTCTTCAGCTGGTTGGTGAGGCCATGCCTGTGATGGACAGTGAATGTGCGTTCTGTATGCAGTGTCAGCCGAGTTAATGGCGTCTGCACGGAACTGTCAGGGCTCACCTAGATGAGCGATATAGTAGCCATGTGTGAGGCAAAATCACCCCACTGCAGGAATCCCCCTTCTCCCCACACGCACTCGCACACAGGCATTCTTTAAATGCTTTCTACTCCTTTTATTTTTCTAGCATTTTAAGGCAGCCTCAGGAGGTTCTTGGTATGTCAGGACATTCTGCAGGGAGATGTTTTTCTTAAATGCTGTTTGTGACCTGAAGTCCTTTCCTCCCCAAGGTTTTTTGGCCAGGATTTTGAGCTCCAGGAATGAGACATCAGTGCACCAAACACCACACTTTCTAGAACCTATTTTTCTGATCTAAAACTGCTTCTGAAAGCAACAAAGCAATTGCCAGGTGCCTAATGTTACATGATTTCCTTTTGCTAACAAGTGGATTCCAGAAAAAGGAATTCGGGCCTAAGTGATATAGGGACCTCCAGATAATAAAGGGACCTACACTCCCCAACTTACAGATGTCTGATACTGCAAGTTTGTGTTCCCCAAGATTGAAGAGTGAGTTCTAAGGGCCCACAGAGACTGAGTGGGAGATACTTACTGGGGGAAATGCAGCTTCTGTGTAAGAAGGGAAGCAGAAAGTGGGTTACTCACAAACCCACTTCTCAGGGAAGATTTATAGCAAAATCTTGAGATGTGTCTGAAATCAAAGCGGGACAAAACTGACTGACCAATAAGTTTGTAAGTAGACTTGCTCAGGTAATATTGATCAGTGGAGGAAGCGGAACGGGTATGGGAAGACCAAGGTCCTTTCCTCCAAGGGAGGTCAGGGGCCTTTCCTGGAAGGGATGGGCGAAGGCCTTTGTCCCTCACCCAGGTGATTGTTTAGGATGTCATTGTTTATTCCTGGGGAAGTGGTGTGGTCATTTCATCTTTTATTTTTAAGCCTGACCTTTCAGGAATGCGCCTCCAGCCACAGCTGTGTTCTCAGGTTCTGCACCGACTCCTTCCAGGGCCTGGCTCTGTCTGCTTAGAGTATTTCTGCCTAATAGATATATGTGGCATATCTGTAATGACATGGCTTTGAAGAAAAGAGAGGGAGGGAGAGAAAGTCCTCTAAAGCAGTAGTGAATCATTTAGTCAGTGAATCTTAATGTACTATGGCAAAAGAAACCTGAAGTCTGGCTTAGGAAATACAGTTTTTGAGTAGAAAAAAGTACATGTAGGGACAGGGAACTCCATAGCTTCTGCCTCTGCAGACCAGATTGGTGATTAGACAAAGGGAAGGAATGAGGAAGAAATTCACAACAGGAAGGTCCTAGGTAGCATGATTAATGAAGTATGTCAAGCCAGGAGTGGTGGTACACACCACCTGTACCTCAGCACTTGGAGGCTGAGGCTGGAGGATTGCTGTTTGAGCCCAACCTTGGCTACATAGCAAGGCTCTGTCTCAAAACAAACCCATATGTATGAGAAACCTCCGTTTTAAAATCCTTAATCCTAAAACTACCTGGCCTGACTGCCCCACCCATAATCCCACCTTCCAACAAAGGACAGGAAAAATCCGGGCCAGAGGAAAACCAAGGTTAGAGTGAAAGACAAACTAGGGAACCAATTGGATTTCAGGAACCTATGCTAGAAAAGGAGCCTAATAAACAGCAGCTACAGACAAGAATCTAGAAGTATTTTCCTTTTGAACCCATGCTATTCATCCAGACAAGCTGTCTGCCTAACCCTTCTCACCTTCAAATAAATCGTCTTCTTTTATTGATTGATTGATTGATTGATTGATTTACTAGGTCTTTTTTCTTTTTTGGGACAGGGTCTCGCTTTGCAGTTCAGGCTGGCCTCTAGCTCACTTTGTAGTCCATGCTGGTCTCTAACTCACAATGATGCTCCTGCCTCGGCCTCCCAAGCATGGTTTCACTGTATGGTTCAGGCTGGCCTTGAACTCACTTTGTAGCCCATGCTGGTCCCTAACTTACAGTGCTTCTCCTGTTTTAGCCTCCCGAGTGCTGGGATTACAGGTGTTTGCCACCACACACACCTGGCTCTTTGATTTGAAACTGTTTCTTTAGTTCTTTTATGGTTGCTGGGTGTAGGATCTCTGGGAGCTGGGAGTCCCAGCAAAGCAGTCAAGCAGTGTGGTGTGGTGTACATTCCTCCCAGACATTACACAGAGTGCTATGGGATGTTTAGTTGGTATTTTAAACAGATGCTTAAAAACCGTCCTGTATCTTTAAAGTGTTCATAAAGATCATAAAGCAAATATGCTACTTGGAGGTGATCAAAGGGGCACTTTTTCTGTGTGCTATAGAATGTCAATTTAAAAATAATATGCATTATTCTCATGAATTAATAGATTCCAAAGTACACAGTTTAACAATGTAGCTGACTGAGAAGGCAAGCTCTGTCTTTTGGGGATGTGTTTGTGTTGTTTTTTTGTTGACAGGACCTCACTAAGTGGTTCAGGTTGGTCTTGAACTCATCATCTAGCCAGGCTAGTCTCAAACGCATGGGGACCCTCCTACTTCAACTTCCTGAGTAAAGTCTCTGATCTGAGGTGTCCTTGTTCCCGAGTCTTGCAGAGGAACTGCTCAGCTTGTCACTCAATCTTTCCTAAAGCAGACACAAGATCTGCCCATCCAGGTGGGTTTTAGTGTGGCCCAGCACATCTCAGTACCCCCTACCACCTTTTTTTGAGACAGGATTTTGCTATATAGCTCAGGCTGACCTGGACTATGTAGCCCAAGCTGGCCTCAAACTTGTGATCCTCCTGCCTCGGCCTTGAAAGTGCTGGGATTATAGGCCTGTGCCGCTACACTCAGCTCTCTAAGATTTCCAAATGCTTATTGATAGAATTGTGGGGGCGGGCAGCTGAAAAGATAAGAAGGATGAAATACAAATGACCTTTATTTTAAGAATGCAGGGAGAGACCCCCCTGACACCCTGGGGTGTGGCATCTCCCCCCCCCCTTCCCCGGGGGTCAGCGATCTCTCCATGGGACACGTGGAGTG